CTCTATACAACAATCTCAAAAACCCCATTTTAAAGCAATTGATGCACTTAAAATAGAGGAAAAAGGCCTAGCATTTTCCAAAATTTTGTGTCTCACGTCAAAACAAATCTCTTCACACACTACATCTGTTGTCTTATAGACATGTTGGTGGGTTGTCTTGTAGACATGTTGGTGGATTCTCCTGTTCCTTTCCATCCAAACATGGTAGACTGCAGCATTTCACATTAACTTGATAAGTGTTTGATACAAAGACTTTTTTCTTATTCGTTTCCCCATCCATAACACAAGCTGTTGCCAAGAATCCAGATAAGGAATTTCAGACATGACACTCAAACGCTTCCACACACATTTTGCATAACTACACTTAAAGAAAAGGTGCTCAACAGTTTCTGATCCATTGTTGCATAGAACACAAGTGTCATCTATGTTAGGGGACCATTTCTTCTGCCTTGCTTTGGTTGTTAACCTGTCCAATATGGCTAGCCAACTAATAAAGCTATGTTTTGGTATTTGCCGAGAAAACCAAACCAGCCTATGCCAAGGAACGCTGGACTGCTTACTTCTGATCCAGTGCCATGTTCTCCCTGCAGTGTATGTCCTTGAAGCTGAAGGGATCCATATAACAATATCCTTGTCCCTTTCCTTAGGATATAGTCTGTCACATAAAACAATTTGAATGTCCAGCAATTGAGGTGAGCGAGCTGGTGGCCATTTCCAAAAATTACCATTAACCACTACCTCCAGCTTGGCTTGGGAAGAAAACCCAGAATCTTGGACAATTTGTGCACCAAAATTTTCAACTAGAGGCCCTGAAGGGTGCTAGTTATCATGCCACAAATAGATGTCCTTTCCATCACCTGGAATGTGTTTAATAAGTTTCCTAGCTTGCTGTCTAAGATTGAGGAGTTTCCTCCAACCCCATGACGCATCAGAAGGAACTCTTATAGACTAGAAACTACAGCCCTTCAACAAATATTCGTGGACCCAGGCCACCCAAATAGATCCAGCTTTTGTAAAGAGCATCCAAATAAATCGCATAATACATGCTACATTCCAATGCATCAGACTCCTCAAACCCAGACCACCCTCCTGCTTAGGGTGACACAATGACAGCCAATTCACTTTAGCCCCTCTTGTAGACTCAGTTGAGCTTTGCCATAAAAATGCAGCACATAACCTTTCAACCTCCTTTATAACCTTCTTTGGTAATATGAAGGTAGAACACCAAAAAGTCGTTATTCCCTGGATGACAGAAGAGATAAGCTGTAGTCTACCAGCAAAAGAAAAATGTTTTGAGGCCCAAGAGCTCATTCTTTCTGTTATCTTTGAAACCAGAGGCTTTAAGTCCTTTTCTGTCAATTTTCCTGTGATTAATGGCACTCCAAGGTACCTTACTGGGAGGACACTAGCCTTGAACCCATAAGCTGCTGTTAATTTCTTAA